GCCACTGACTAAAGACAGTATCTGTATGTTTCTTCTTAATGCACTTGCTTCAGTCTTGTCAGACTGAGCCAAATCATCTAATTTTTTAACCCTTGTCAACAATTTCCTAATGATACTTTCATTAGGAACACATACGGCTGTTGAAGCCGGTTGGATTATGGTTTCCACCACAGCACTTTGATGTTTCCTGAATGGAAGGGAATAGCTTGGGTACAGTTCAGTCACAACAGATCTGAAGGGAAGGAAAGTAGCTTACAGAAACATTAGGGCAAAGGAAGATAGTGAATTTAACATATGTGGCTCTGTGTCTTAAAGCATCATTCTAAGAACCCTCAGAGGAAGAATATTGCCAGTATTAAGAGTTAAGTATTTAATTTGATGTGAAGAGGGATAAAAGTCACAGTACTATTCACGTAGATTTTACCCCATGTTAGCACTGACAGCTGCCTTCAGCTTAACTAATTTTCTTCAGGCAAACATTCTACATATTGCACATATTAACTAGATGAGCTTTGGGAATTCTTTCAAACATTATACATAAATGCTTCACTTATATAACTATATGAAAAGATTCACACATACAGCTTCTAAAAGCTCCCTCATCTCCCCCCAAAAAAACCCACAAAACAGACTGTACTTCATACTTTAAATTATGAGAGGACTAAAGAGAGTCCAAAATGAGTATAGCTATCCTAAAATGAAGATGATAGTCAAATGGCATCTATTATTCAACTATTGGTTGGTTCTACATTCTTTTACTCACGTATTTAATCCTTATCACTTTAACTCCAGTAATTGCACTTTGGATTTGTGACACATTTCTGTATTTTATTATACATAATAAAAGTCAAACAGACTGTAACCACAGGAAGATTAGAAAGAACAGCTGCAACCACCACTAAGAGGAACAACTAGAGCTGTGCTGTGCACAGAGAGACAGCAAGTTTGGCACATTACTAACGTAAGACAGATTAATTTTTTTTTTTCTTTTCCTATTACAGCCTTGCATTGTAATGCTCCAATGTACAACCTACTCACATCAGACTGCCTGTTAAAAGGTAACTGTAGCATCCATGTTCTTCGAGGAAGAAAGCTAAATCTGTGTCTTCCTGTCACAGAGCAGTTCATCCCAACGCTTTTATCACTGCATGTTCTCAGAGACGGAAAGCAACAATTTTGGACAACGAGCAACAACTGAGCAAAAAACAGTCCCTCCTGGTCAAGCAGAGTTATGACATCTCCCTGATGATAGGACCTGTCAGACACAGAAGACTAATGGCTTCATGATTAAAACAGTGTTGAGAGGCCAGCATCATGCAAATAATGACCTATCATATCAGCAGAAGAAAAGCTGCTTCTTTTCTTCATCAGAAAGGGTGGACATAAAGAATGTAAATCCGCTATGCTTCTGTTAGCTAGAAATTCCTTTATGTAAGGAAAATTCACTGCCAGTTCTACTATCTGATCAGCACTGCACAAAACATCCAGGAGATTGCATTCTTCTCCTTTTTTGTTTGTTTCATTTGCTGGGTGATTTTTTTGTTCTTAACCTTTTTCTTTTGCAAGTCACAGCTGAAATCAAAGTATACAAGGCTGATTCCTGTGATATTGCAGAGAATTATATATCCATATTATCAACCAAACAACCTAAATCCCTTCTGAGACACATATATGGATCTAGTTTCCATGTAAATAGGAGTTTGTGTTCACTTCGGAAAGGACACAGTGGGATTCTTTACATTTTGGCCATAGAAAGGATGCAGTGCAGATGGAGTAGAGCTATCATTAAAAAACCCATTAGCTATATTTCAGGCAATGCAGAGATGAGCTACAGAAATTTCAAGCACACCACAACTGTAAAACCAGGACAGAAATCACTTGGAGAAATAAAGGTAAAATATCAGAAGTATTTTCTTAAAAAAAAACACCCTGTAATTTAAACTTTGTTGCCAAAACATACAGAACACAGCAATCAGGCTTAAGACTGGTGAGAATTAGCACAATAATTAGAACTATGCATGACAATGCTGTTCTAGGCCAGGCTGGGTCAGGATGACTGGTCCTAAACATGGAATTTGCTGTAATGCAAATGTTCTACCTTAGTAAATACTGTAAGCTGAATTGCAAGTAGAAAACGGGTGGAATAAAAAAAAACATGCAGGATCACTCTGATTCAGATTTGGAAAAGAATTTGGAGACTAGACTGGTACCTTCAATGTATCTGTAAAATGTGATATTCATTCTAGATGAAAAGACCTCACAGAATAGCTTGAAAGGTCAGAACTGACTTTGGAGAAATCCGAGTGTGGTGATCAGGTCCGCTAGATATAGGCAAAAACTTGAAAAACAGGGTACATCTAGAACATTTCTTATTCACCACTACTGTTTATTTCCCGTTATAGAACTACGTTAAATAAAAAAGTCTTATATATAGCTGGATATGGTTTTATTTTTTTCCTATGCGTGAGCAATATTTGCATTACTATGAGATTTAAAAGCTGCTAATTATCTTAAAATAATACACTCCAGCATATTCTCTCTTCAGGCCAGTGAGCTGACACTACAGGGCATTACAGCCTACAGCGGTGATGGAGAAAGCTCTGGCATTGCACAACGTGCAGCTTAAGAAGCAGGTACAGAAACTGAAAACCCTGACAATGACCACTGCAGATAACTCATGAGGTCCTCTCACACACTATAGAAGCAGAGAAAGATATCCTGGTACAAATTATACACTGTTGCATAGAAAATCTAACATTACAGGGCTGCAGTTTTTACCTAGTTTTGGACATTGGTCAGAACTAAAGGATCAGGTGACTGTAAGGTATAGAGTCACAATACATTACATTTCACATCATATATTACTCTGTCCTTTGTCACATAAACTTGCCTTTAGAGAAACTGCTGAGTACTCTTACAGCAACAAGACTGATAAGATGGTAGAAACACAGTGCAGTAATAAATAGTATGGGATGCAGTCAATAAAACCCCTTAGCTTTTCTACAGAAGGTACTGGAAGAAAGTTTAAATAATTTTATTAGAAACTACAAGAGATAAGAAACGCAAGACATTATTTATAAAGAGATATTACCCTGATAAGCGGTAACTTACTTGGCCTATGTAGAATCGTTTTACATAGTTACACTCTCTGTGTTTTAGTTATTTCCTCAACTTGTCAATTAGTTGTAATCCTTGCACATCAAACAAGGTACATTTTCTCTTTTTTTACTGAGCTTGTTACCGAATTTAAGTTTCATAGGAACCCTAGCTATGTTTATTCTTTTGGTTAAAAACAACAATATAACTCTCTTTTCAGAGGGTCATATCTTCCAAGCCAAAAAGCCCAATGTGTCCTCAAAAGTGCATATATCAGGAATTGCATTCATACAACTTCCTGGTATCCCTGCACAAACACGAGCATGATAAGATTACGACTGAGTGAAGATTATGAATGACTGATTACTGTTTCTTAATTTGACCAGCACTTTTGTATTCAGCACATTGTTTACTTAAAATAAATGTACTCCCATTAAAATACTATTCTAGTTATAACATTAAAAATATTTTGACTTATCTTACTTTTTTCTTTGCAAGTGGACGAATGAGTCACCCTACCTGGATTTTCTTTCACTTGCCACTTCACTCTGCCATATGCAAAGAAAAGAAAAAGCAAGCTAAGTTTTCATTTAAATAAAGAATTATTGTGCAAAGGGAGTGCACTCATCTGAGCAAACATATGTTTACAGTACTTAGTATTTTAATTATATTTGACACGGCCTTGACAATTACTGCCTTCAGAATTATGAAATAAAGATATCTGTCCATCTATTACAAACTTCACCTCCCAAATTAAGGATAAGTGCAAAAGTAATCTCTAAGAAACTAAAATTTGTTATCAAAATTTGATACAAGATATAAAAAAAAACCCAACCGAATATCAGTTGATTAGAAAAACTGAAAGCAAGAACCAAATCAAAAGTGTATACAAGGTACTCAAAAATAAAACCCCAAACAGAAAAAAACAAAACAAAAAACTACTTTGAAAGAAAAATCTTGCGTGAAGTATCTCTCCAGGAACACATCAAAGGAGGATATGTCATTCAAATGACATTTTATCTGTTACTTAATTTACTGAAAAGACTTCAGACATCATACCACTGTTCACACATTGGCAGTTTTTACGATGTGTTGCTATGATGGCAGACAGATACAGGATACAAGAGTTTAGGAACTCTCCTGTTTTACCCACCCACAGGAAACATAATGTCAGCCCCTACTGCCTCATAAAACATCCAAAACGTGATCAATCAGATGGCTTGGTTCAGAACTACATCCATCCTGATGCCTGTTACGTCATGGTTTTTTTTCTTTCTCAAGCTACAATGCCTTCATAGGAAGGAAATACAGATTCCACAGGTCCTACAGAAACCTCTGCCAGTGTAGGCAGAACACTTACTGAAGTTGGGGGAAAAAAAACAGTACCACTGAAGAATATCAATTAATACAATACTGTAAGTGCTGTTTTTCATAGATAACTGAGAACTTGACCATTAAAGCCCGTTAAAATATTGTGTAGTAAGGTGTTGGGTTTTTTTGAACAGGGATGTTGTACTTTGTGTCGTGACCTGAATTCCACTTCAGGTAACTTGCTTACCCAAATTTTCTCTGTAAAAATTAGACATTCGCTCCTCTAATGTTCTGTCAAGAATATTTTCCCAGATGTCAAAAATTTATTTGAGAAAGGGATTAAATATTTCATTTTTTGGTATCATATCTGTGCCCCAGATACTGGATGCAGAAGGAAAACAAAGGGACCCCAAAGCTTTCAAGCATGAAATCCTTCTCTAGCACTGCAAAAAAAAATAATAAGCTAATACTTTAAAAGATGCGTTTTATAAATACATTGACATGCAGGTGTCACACTTCTGCAAAACTCAAGCAACACTTTTGTTCCATTCCCCACATCTCCCTTCAGATTTTTCTAAGTTAAAGTAACTTACTTGCAAATGTCATCTTCTGGGTCCTCAAGCCCAAATCTTTCATCAAAAGTAAGCTGTATCCATACATTTTCGTCTGCTGCTACCAATCTCCACACTAGTACAGTATTGCGTGGGTATGTGTGTGGGAACTTGGGGCTGTGAATACTTCCATTAGTAGTCACAGTAATTATCTTCTCATGTTGAGGATCCTGCACACCTATAGTAAAGAGAAAACAGATGCATCAATACTCATTTATTCTCCTTTAGAATTTCTAAAGGGTTTGCATAGTATGCACAGATAAAGACCCACTTGCTTGCTTTTCTTCATCTTGCAAGGAATTTCTGCTTGAAAAATCTATATAATAACAACTCAAAAGTGATAAGTATTACTTTGCTAGCAAAAAGTTATTCAGATCCAAGACTCAACTGCTGTTCAGAAAGCAGAATAGAAGTTCAAGTGGAGATAAGAGAACTGTGACTGCAAACACTTGAATACAAGACTGGATTCCTCCTCACAGAAGCCCAGCAGTCCAAGGGACTATATCATGCAGCCTGCCAATGATTTCAGTTCTTTATTACTAGAGAGTACATTGTGATCACATGAGGGTACAGGGAGAGATCTGCTCACACCTACCACCGAAGGGATGGTTTAAATTTGTCTCCTGTTAAATGTCCTACATTTATTGAGTCCAGTGATAAAGATTTTCATGGCTGTCTCCTTCCTGAGGGCTGTATCAGAACAAAGTTATCCCGAAACAGAAATGAAACTGGTATGTGCTTGGGAAAGTTGGGAAAGTTGGCAAAGTCATCAAATGTAAGAAATTAGGCATTTACTGATAAGCCTCAATTGAGAGCATTCCTCAAAATTCTTCACAGAATTTTGTTAGACTAAACACATGTAAAATTAAATTATTGTTTTACAAGGCAGCAGCAAATGCATTCAAAAGAAATAAGCTAACTGCATTTGGGTTTTAAAGCAGTAACACTGAAACTACTGAAAAGATCTCTTCAGGTTATGAATTCATAGCTGCAAGGAGTTACCAAAGGGAAAGGACACCTTCAGAGAGCAGCAGCTGTGCCTTTCAGAGCCCCAACAACTCTCTTCACAGTAACTCAAGAATCCTCATTCTCAAGTGCCCTATATTCACAGGAATTCACATTCAGCAGCTGGAATCAGCTCATATTGGGTATTTAGCTGCAAAAAAAAAAAGCAGGCACTGACCTAATCTGGATACATTTTAACATTGTGACATACAATGATGAGATCTCTAAACTACAAAATTTAATTCCATAAGCACGTTACATGAAAAAACCCTCCTTATTCTATACCACAAGACTTTTACTATCTGGCTTTTTCTAAAAGCCTGTACACAGTCAGGTTTGACATTTCACTCAGTAAATCATAGGAGTTCACAGAGTAACCTGCTAATAAATTTAGTAACAAAATAAGCTTGCAGTTTTGTACTGGGGAGTTATTAATATTATTTAGCTTTCAGCTATTTGTTGTCTCTTGCAGTTAAATATGTTATTTTGCTGAATGTTTTATAACCAGCATTATGACGAACATCCATTTGAAGCTATTAAGACACATATGCTTCAGTCTACAATGAAAACATACAACACAATTGTACTTTATTATAGCTACATGTAAGGCTGACAACTAAATGAATGTAGTGTAAGAAAAGGTGGTCATGGAAACAGCCTTGCTATTTTAAAAGAATTTATCTATACTTAAATACAATTTAAAGTTTGATGGACTTGTGCCTTCTACTTGTGGTATGAAAACGGTAAATTTTCTTGCAAGTGGAATTGCTGCTTGTATAAAACTGATGGAGTGTGGTCTTGCCAGTATCCACACACAGTTGCAGAGGACTGACTGTCTCGTGTACAAATGAGAGAGGATAGCATGCCATAATAAGAAAAAAAAAAAAATAAAGACACAAAAACCAGATTCCAAGTTTAGACACTTCATTGGGTTTTTGTTAGCTGAGTCACAAGCATTCTTCTATAATGTATAGTATGTCAGCTGAGAGCTGCATGCTAAACACAGGAGCCAACAATAATAAAAATGACTTTCCCAGAGATTAGTACACCAGAGTGCTATTTCCAAAGTATGCAAAAGACCACCATTTCAGACAAAAATGTCAAAGCGCGGTGTCTGACGACACTATATTCAGTGGTTCATTTGATCTTTAAAAGCACACGCAGGATTACAAACCACATGATATTTCACAATATATTAAGAAAGTGTTTTATTTTGTATCATCAGGACAATGATAACAACAGCAACGCAAGTAAGAATTGTAAATAGTCCAGGCGTACCAAATGAGAAATCAATAAAAAAGGGCAAAGGAAAGAAAAGGCATGTGGAAATTCAGTGAACAAAAGTTGTGGCATCTCCAGTACCTTCAGCTCCTCCATTTCTAAAGGAAAAATATCTATTTACTTTAGCACACAACATTGTTCCATGAACATATCAAATTCCCATACACATCACTTGCTCCATTTCAAATATTTGCTCTCGCACAGTGGAATTTATTCTCTTACAAAAGAATTATTTTGAATGACTACAAAGGCAAGTAACTGCTGTCACTGGAGGATGAAGCTTGTTATTTGTCTTCAGATAAGCCACAATATTCCTTTTTATCCATTCTACATAAATTGTACCATTATGCCTCAAAAAGCTAGCCTTTTCCTACTGAATTCACGCATGTTCTGAAAATTTGAGTAAACTGTGTGAAGAGCACAGCTACCTGAACATGGCTAAGATGAGACTATAGTCTCTATTCTTTGTGGAATGACTTTGCAATTCCTGGCTTTATTTTAGGGATAAATGAGTCCGAGTTACACTTAAAAGGGAGTAATAAGTTCAGTCAGATTTATAGCGGTCAGCTATATAACTCCAAAGCTATATACATTGCTGTGATCTGTTTGCCTTTCTATTAACAACTATCCTCCTGACCCTCCCCCAAGAAAAAAAAAAGAAAAAAAAAGATTATTACTGTACAGACAGCACTGAACAATCCTGAAGAATCAGTTTAGGCAAGGACTGAGGTAGGCAAGGCACCATCTCAGCCAAGGGGCAACAACACTGTGCAAGGGAAATGGGGGCAGACAAGGACCAAAACGATGTATTTGCAACTTCAGTAAAAAGCTCCATCAAAAGACGGGTAACTGAGATCACCTGCAGGAGAAAGTCCTGGAAACAGGTCACACTAGATGGGAAAAAAGTCTAAGCTGAACCAGGGATATGACACAGTTATGTTTCTTAAGAAAGGACAGCACACCCTTAACAGAGCCTGAAGTTGAAGAATGAGTCGCCGCAGTTGTCTTTGATGTGGTACAAGATGCTATCACCAGATTTATATATCTATCTATGTAGAAAGTCTGCCCCTGAAAATTACAAGATTCCAGGCATTCTGGAAGCACGGCAGTGCCTAACCCTTCCGCCGACGTGGTAACGCAGATGAAAAACCACGGTATCACCAAACAGATCAGCAGATACCACTGTAAACTGAAATTAAACCCACCGACTAGACAAGCTCATTCCTGCCTACTTCAAAGTAGGTCTCTTCCCCCATGGGCACAACACATTTCACAAAGATCAGTTCTGACACTTTTTAAATATAGCAAATACCTCTTCTTAGTACATCGTAATCACCACATTTTAGCGAGGGTCATGGGCAAAACTCGGACAAACCAAATACAGCTCAGGAGACAGATGAGGAGGTGCAGAAGAAGAGAGAAGCACTGCGGGTGGAGTAATGGCCTCGGCACTGACTCACATAAAAGGCTGATTCCTTAAGAGTTCACACAGTACTGGTAAAATAAATTTTTAAAACTTTTTGCTAAACCTACCTTAATTTCACAACAGGACACGATAAGAGTACCACTAATCATGCACTGTGAATACATTATTTGGTTTATTTGATTCAATAGCCCTTACTTACGGAAATTAACTTTTGCGCCTTCAGAAACAGCATTAGCTCATGTGTGGCTACCACTGCTTTAAAAAATAAAAAAGCCAAACTGAAACATAAAAAAAAGTTTTGACTCTAAATCCATCTCTAAGGTCCCTTCCAGCCTATGCCATTCTATGATTAGAGCTTTTTCAGATATACAGTAAAGTTACAGTATATGTGAGTCCACTGCTTTAAAACTCTGAAACAAAAGATGACAGTGATTACTTGTTTGTTACCACAGAACTTCAGAGGGAAGCAGATTTTTTTAATTAAAGTAATCAAAAAGATTTCCTGACAACATCCCCATATAATTTTTACAACACTCCACATATGTACAGAAACCGAGACTTTGTAGAAGAAATTCTTTGAAATGTAACATAACATGCCATTTCTTCCTCTTTCACCAGACTTTCAAAAAGCGGTAAGCCTACTTTCAAAAGTAGTAACTCAAAGCATTACAGGGGTATCGCATTCTGTCCTCTTTCTCTGGCTCAGTTGCCCCCAGGCACTTCTTAGCTATTATCTGAATGTAACAGTCAAAATGAAATCAAACTTTTGCTGGGTACAAAGGAAAAACTGGAAAATAGTCTATTATTGGAAGAAAATTTAAGATTAATAGCTCTGTCTGATCTTGTTCATATGTAAAACATATCAGGGCAAAGCCACTCAAAAATCATACAAACGCTGCTTTTTAGGGGACCTCTAGAGACCTCCAGTCCCAGCTCCTGCTTGGGTTACAATTCCTGCTCACACCACCGCAGGTCACCCGTTTGAGAGTTAGCATTTCCTAGTCAACACTCAAACCCTCTCGCAGATGGAAACTCTGCAGTGCTTTGGGATAACCTGTTCCAGTGCAGTACTATCTCCCTAGGTAAGATGTTTTTCCTAATGTCTGATCTGAACCTCTCAAGATTCTATTTCTAGCTATGGGTTTTTCAGGGTTTGTTTCATTTTAACACTCCGTGCTCCTACCAGGAAGGGTTTAACTTGGTCACCCTTGCAACTGCTCTTCAGGCAATTGGAGGCCTATCAGACTGCCCCATAGCCTTCTCTTCCCCAGACTAAACAAGCCCAGCTTCCTTACCCTCCACTCACTGCCTGCCACCAACGAGATGCTGAGCCTTCAAGCCTGGCTGTCCACTCAATTTTCAACCTACCTAACGAGCAGTCTTGTTCTTCCCAACCATTGTGCCTCAAGTACCACAAGAAATGTTTTTGAAGCACACATGGGTTTTTTTCATCATCAACTTTTCAA